CTTATTATACCCTTTCCAACTTTTCAACCATTGTATCATTTTTGAATGAGTATAGATCACATGGATCGGTTAACTCCAGAACCAATGTCGAACGCTCCCTCCTTAAGCCTATGTCATGTGTCAGTCTGTCTATGTGTCATTTGTCCACTGCCTAATAGGTACGATGTACCGTTAAAATTTAAAAATTTTTAACTGATAATATATTTGTAAAATACGAAATATAAGGGTGTTTTGCTAATTTTTCAACACCCCCTTTTTCAAAAATGTATTCAATGTTTTAACCCATGTATTTTTATTCAATTTTAACTCTGGATAGATATCTATTGACGTAAGGTAATTCTTTCACCCTTACTTCTCGTATTAAATTTTAAACTTTGTAAGACGGCCTGAAGATGACAATGTTTTGTCGAAAGCGCTAGCCAAATTGTATTAAACCTTTATATATATATCATTTATATATACACACTTGAGTACTCAATTCCTCAATTCAACCCAATAATTTAATTTTTATATACTTTCTGTGCCTAAGCACTGAGATGGGATTTATATTAATCCAATGTTGGATGCCGACTAACAACAGTGAAGAAGGAGGTGAGTCGTGGAAAAAGTTATGTTTGTAAGTGGGCGCCAGGAGTTTAACCTCACATCCAACAAACCATGTGACAGTTCACTACCAAACTCCAAATAGAAAACTATAACATCTCCTCTACGCCATCAAGCGGCTACAAATTGAGTATGCTCCTATTATATTAAATGTTACTTTACCATAAAAATAAATGCTGAACCCGAATATAAAATCGAATAGACAATTAGCAAGTGGGATAAATAATAGGTTAAGTTCAATTTATACACCCAAATTTTAATATAAATATAAATCGTGTTGACATGGGGGGTCAACTTCGTTACCACTTCAAAATTTAACAAATAATTAACAACTAAATCACTTAGTACATTACTAATAGATTCCCCAACTATTAACAGTAATCCAGTATCACTGGGAGTAATATTTACAACTAAACGTTATATTAAACTTAAAAATCATTAAATGGGATTAGGGGTAATCGTAAAAATATAGCACATGAGGTGTGTACTGTATTTATCAAAATAAACAAATAATAGTGTACTAATTACGGATGCTAGGGGTAAAAATATGTAAAACTCCGTTAGTTATTAAAAATATTAGTTACCCATCAGTAATATAACCAACGAAGAGCTGTTGGTAACGTTTTTGGGTTTATTAAAATGTATTGTGATTTATACACCCCTAAACCTCGTTTACATTAGGTTTAGATAAAATTATGTACTAATAACACCCCCCAATAAAATAGATTAAGTAGTAATAAGTAATATAAAAAATAAGATAGTAAAAACTTGCGGTACACCGTGACTTCTTCCCAGCTGCTCTAGTAGACGGTTAATGTCCTATTCGGCATACAAATCAATCTGCCTGTCGTAAAGGTTGATAGCCCGTTACACGATTACTAGCTGATCACAAGGAGTACTAGCTGGTTGGCCTTTCACAAGGACTACTGGCCCGTAACAAGAAGTATTGGCCCGTCACAAGAATACTGGCCCGTCACGAGAAGTGTTGGTTTTCACAAGAAATGATAGCCCGTCACAAGAACCCTAAAGAAAACGTGTAAGATAAAACACAGAAATAACTATTTATCCCTGGTTAATAAGAAGTTAAAATTAAATAACCAGGTACCTACATAGCCTTCTAGTGAAGCGAGGTCTAGAAATAGGTAATAACTACTCAACGTTTACTATTTAATTAAAGTTCGGCTTATCAATTTATGTAGGTAATTTTCAGATTTACAAAGTAACAGGAGAGAGCTCGTGAAGCAAGTTCTACCCAACAATTACATTTAATAGGCAAATTACACCCTTAGATTTCAAAATACTACCCCTAATAATCAATCCCATATACTGAAAATATATACAACGAAAAGAACATAACCTAGGGTTAGGTCTAAGTAAGCATTCTAACTAAAATTAAAGCATATTTACCTCTTTCACAGCTAAAAAGAGGGACAACACGATGCACCAGATCAAATTGAACGGCAAATTCGTGAACGGCTTATTCAGAAAGACTACAAATATATGTGGGCACTGAAATAAAAGACGAAGGTCTTAAAAAAAGAAATAATACGTCATAACTTTAAGTACTGCGTAGAAGAAAACTTACCAATGAGATTCAACACGTGGTTAAATACCTATATCCTCCTAAGATCTCCTACAACATGTGGTCACCAAAAAATACTACCAAATCCACACTGTTGTAACTTAAAACAAAAAGGTTGCTTCGCAATATCCCAAATGGATTGAAACGACTTCCAATAAATTTCGAAACAGTACCTTCCAAACAAATCCACGTGTGTAATATCAGTCTCAAAATTCCAAGAAGGGCGGAAACCGACGTCACTTGACATCTGACATCTCCAAAGAAAAACAGTAAAACCAACATACCTTAGTGACAAATAGATGTCCCATCAGCGCCCTCTATTACGAAATAAATTCTTGACAGAAATGGTTAAAATAAGCAAACAAAGCCTCTAAAGCGAAATAAATAGCCTAACTATACTCAAATAGAGGTCCTATCTACCCCAAACTGATCATATACTTACAATTAAAATCGGGGTGGAAACGCTAGACCGACATCTTGAATACATGGCAGCCACATGCTCACCCAGAGTGTCGCAGAGAGACCCCTCTGTTCGAATATCGATCCAAAAGCACAGTGGTTTAAATGCGGGTATAGGAGGGCACATTAAATAATTACTGAACACGTATAAAAACTAGTGTATTCTTATTTTTATGAAAAACCGCTATAAGGCCAAATTTAAACGTTACAAGTGATCCAAATTACCATAACTTCTAATATTTTAGAAAATACTAAATTATACAAACAAAACAATAAAAAAATGTCATTAAAATAAAAGATTCCTGGTTTGTATGCAACAAATGATCTAGGTTAGAGGGTAACACGATTGATAATTACAGGCAAACATAACTTTATATAGGTAAACTATTTAAATGTACATACCATTTCTTAGGTAACATTTTTCATCGAGTATATTAAATTAACTGATTGATCCATTTTTCCGATTCAGACTTTTAAAGTGAAAAACCATTTGTCTCTTTATCTTTATCAAATTTTTATTGTACATTTCCATTTCCATAATGATGTTAAGTAGTTACCTCATCAGATTAATAAAAATTTTTCCTTTTAGCAGGTTTTGTGGGAAAACATTTTTTTGTTTACTTCTTACTTCATAGTATTTACAATTGGGTACAAAATAGACCATTTTGAAGTAGTCTTTGGATGGTCTTAGACACTGAAAAAAATATAAAACAAATTGCAGTCGTAAAACTTTATTATAGGTAAATAAAACAACATAACCTTAAAAATTTTAATTTACCCTGCCTTAAGGTAGTTCAATCGCGACAGTCGTACATAAAAATATCGCATAATGGTGAATACCAAAAGTTCGAGATTCTCAATGCTAATCAATTTTATTTTTGTAAGAGGCTGTACAAAACACATGTACATAAACACATATGGACATGTTATAATTTTAATAAAATTCATCCGGCAATCTCGCAAATATATGAACGGTATGGTATAGAAATTTGTGACTTCCTCATACTAATTTTAAGGGTTTGTTTTGGTTCAAACAGAACCGCTGATTCCAGTTCTCAAACACAGTGGACGAATTAATTTTTCAAAAACACGTCGCGAGTATATAACAACTTCTTAGCTGATCGAGTGTTACTTTGTTACGTGAAGTGGTTACAATGTTGCCAAGTTGTAATAATTTTACAAAACTACTCGTTAACTGCTTTAAAATTTTTTATCTTTTTAGTAAGACGGTCAAAAAATTCAGCGATTTTTTATAAAATTTTATAACTTCTTGATTTATTTAACATTAGTTTTTAAAAAATAAGAACCCTTTTCAATATATCTTAAAATAAATTCATTACTTGTGTACATGACAGGCTTTAAGAGTGTTAATTATGCTAATTTTGATTGTTAATATCTCGTTTCACAGATGGTTAAAAAATCTAATTTTTTTTTAGTTACGTAAACGATACTTTCATAAACCTTATATTTCAATTTTATTGAATTCTTAAGAAAAGCCGTTTTACGAGTGAACTACCTTAAAGAGGTTTTTCGGGAACAATCGTTGAATTGACACATATACTTTCAATTTATTGAAGACACACTTCTTAATTAAAACGAGCACAAATAAAATAATCTTATGTTTTTATTTAAAGTATTTCATAGCAGAGAAATGACACTAATGACAGTAACAATTTGTTTGATTTGGTACAGTGTTGCCAGAATATGTTTTTGTTATGTACCAGATTTGTCTAAAAAATGTATCAGCTTCTTTAAATGTATCAGATTTTTCGAATTCTATTTGCAGTGACATCTAATTCATTGAAAGGGAAAAAAGGGGGTCTTTATTGATAACGAACCCAAACAAGGAACACAATATATATTTTACACGTGAACACTGATGCACGCAGAAAGTACTATATCTAGTAAAATTGTGAATTGTACTAGACTGGCAACACTGGTTTGGAAACCTTGTTTGTGAGTGGTGCGCCAATTAATGTGTTCTTTGAAGGATCTGTTGGCGTGTTGTCTCCTCTTTTTAGCTATATGTATTCGCCAAATCGTTTCACTCGTGTTAGACTCATTCATCATAATGCACCACAGACACGGTATACTTAGGTATACTGTGCCACAGAATTGCGATTAACCAGAGGGCAATGATGTACCAACAAATATAGATTAACACGTATGAAAATAAAACAGAAAAACCACAAAAAGTATATTGTACAACAAGAGTATTTATTGCACACTACTCTTTCGCTATGACTACAATGGCCACAATTTCAAAAAATTTAATTGTAACTTATATATGTTATTGAAATAAACTTAAAGTACCAGAAAATGTTGCATTTAGCTCACGATATTTTTGTTATTGTAGATGAATTTCAGCGATGCATACAACTTCTGCAAGAACAGCAATCTTCAATTGGCAGCTGTAGAAACCATTGCTGAAGATGACAAAATATTCAAAGAATTGAGTTATTTAGGATGTAAGTAGCTATTTAGTTAAACATTTTAAAATATAGTTATGTAAAAATATTTTTACACTAAACATGGTAATACTATCGATGGTAACGTACGGCAATCAAGTGTCAATTCCATAAAAATTATTAATTTATTTCGTTTCCTAAAAAACTCTTTTATATTTAATTTCTAACCATATTCGGCGATTTATACAATCATTTTGATTGAATTGTAAAACATACTGACTAAATATTAATATTACCCCATCTCTGAAATACTTTTTGAAAACTTTTTAACTTTATTACTTTGTGTAATCCAAAACATTTTAAACTTTTTTTTTGAAATATGAACTGTATCTTATTATGCATTGTCAACCAATCCCTTTAACGATTAAAAAGGATAGCTGAATTCGTTCAATTTCTGTTGAATTAGCCGTGACGTGACGTCACCCCTGGATGCTTTTAACGGTTTAGCCGGAACTCATTTGAAATATACATCGATACAATATACATTTTTTTTATTCTATATATTTTTAGACTAAAAAGTATTTCAGATATTCAAAACATCATTTTACCCAGAGAAAAATTACAAACATCTCAAAATTACAGGAGTAAGTAAAATAGGTAATAAATTTGAATACTACCGCCATGTTATCTAAAAATATTTCTTAAATAATACGTATTTGAGAAATGTGTATGCTAGTAATAAGATAATTAGAAGTCGAAATTTATATACAAAGTGTACAAAAGTTAATGCAACTTACTAATAAAATTAAATTTCTGATAGGTTCACAATAAAGTTTTGAATAAAAGTTTTATGAAATTTTTTAAATTATTAGTATAAGTTAATAGGAGATATACTGGGTTGGCCATTATTCTAAAATCAAGCAATGATATATTTTTACGTACTGTATTAAACTTAAAATAAAACCATTAAAACTGCATTGTGTTAACTTTATTAGCTCGAATACAGGGTGTACTATTAAAGTCATAATGTGCCTAGTAAATTTCTAACTGACTTATACCGATATAACTTGATTTATTTCATAAAAATTTTATTCAAAACGCTTTCTGTAAATATATTAGAATTCAAAAAATAAAAAAGTTATGGTAGACGTTTTGAAATTCACGCTCGTCCTTTTTACATTTTCACCATAAGATCACGCTACGCTCATCCCACCCACGTCCTAACCAATACAGAATACAGCAGATGAAGTCAATGAGGTGTGAAAAGAGCGTTGGTGGGACGAGCGTAGTTCTTATGGCGCGCCCGGCCGACGCTTCGAAATTCGCGCACGCGAATTTCGAAACGCCGGCCGAGCCCATTGGCTTCGCTCACTCCCTCCTCTAGTGGTGAGGCCGTTGTTGGGACAAGTGGTACTGACTCTTATTGTGTCAATGTAAAAAGGGCGCGTCAGGACGACGTTTCGAAATTTCAAAACGCCTGGCGGGCGCGCTCGCTTTCCTCGCTCCTTTCTCTAGTAGTTAGACCGTAGTTGGGACGAGAATAGCTGACTCTTATGGTGTGGGTGTAAAAAGGGCTCGCTCGCTTCTTCTTCTAGTAGTGAGGCCGTTGTTGGGACAAGTGTAGCTGACTCTTATAGTGTAAGTGTAAAAAGGGCGAATTTAATTTAATTTAAAAACGTTAGCCGTGTGCGCTCACTTTGCTCGCTCCTTCCTCTAGTAATAAGACCGTTGGTGGAAAAAGCGTAGCTGACTCTTATGGTGTAGGTGTAAAAAGGACTCGCACGGCCGACGTTTCAAAGATCGCGCACGCGTATTTCGAAACGTCAGCCGGGCGCTTTCTTCCTTCCTTTCTTCCTGCAGTGGTAAGGCCGTTGTTGGAACAAGCGTAGCTGATTATTATGGTAAAGGTGCGAAAAGAGCACCCTCGCTTCGCTCATTTATCATCTAGTGGTAAGCATGTTGGTAGGACGTGCACAGCTGCCTTTTATGGTGTAGATGTAAAAAGGGCGCACTCGATTCCCTCGCTCTTGCCTCTAGGGGTAAGGCCGTTGGAACGAGCATAGCTGGCTGTTATGGTGTAAGTGTAAAAAGGGTGCACACAAATTTGAAAACATCGGCCAAGCGTGCTAGCTTTTAAGGTAGTTGGGACGTGGTAGGACGAACGTGCTTTCATGGTGTAGGTATGTCAGGAAACGTTTTCATTTTGTTTATGAAATAAATCAAGTCATCAATGCAAGTCAGTTAGAAATATATCGGGTGCACCATTACTCAAAAATAACGAATGGATGGCTAATGGCTAATAAAGTTAGGACAATGTAATTTTAATGGTTTTATTTTAAATTTAATTTAGTACGAAAAACTATTTAAAAAATATATTTTTTGCATAATTTATGAATACTGGTCAACCGAGTAGGGGAGAGCGCCCAACAATGGCCACCTTTTTTTTGTTTTCCAGATTATTGCATATGATAATTTAAATTACATAATATTTTTAAGTTACATACTTTGTCATGCCATAAAAAGAAGTATTGTATAGTTTTGGAATCTAAAAAATGTATATTTTTTTTGTTATTAATTTTTTTTACAAAAGATGTTAAGGTGGCCACAGTTCGCGCCTAGGTGCGTACAGTGGTCACCACGAGTTCTTACAGTGGCCATGAACTAAGAATGTTACAATTTTGTATAATATTTTGTCAGAAATAAGCACAAACAGTATTAGAAGGCATATTTATTATATTTATTGAAAAATAATATTTAATACAAACTAAAGGATGATAAATCTATTGAAAAATAATAAAGGCTTTGAGTCCTTGCAGTTCCCCCTGAAGTGATTGGCGTTGGGAGATGCATGACTATGTCAGTAACGTGAACAATAGATTCGTCTCTGACGTCTGGATACGAAAATTTGTTTTCTTTACGCTTTCTCAGAAAATTGACAAGGAGTTCTTCATTTTTTAGAGTTTCGGTTACCTTTCCTATGCAATATTTCAGTTGCTTCTTAGTTGCAAATCTAACAAGCACAAAACTATCAACGGTAATTTCTTCTATCTTTTTTTCGTTTTCATATTCAGGCAGGTTCATCCAATCTGCTTCATCGGAATCAGTTAAAACTAAGCTTTCGTCACTTTCATCACCCGAGCTGCTGCTGATGTTTAGGATTGGTTTATTATTGGATTTTTTTAAATCTGAATCTTTGTTCTGTTCTTCGGTGTCCTCTAAACCAATTTTTCTTTTTATTCCTACTGTTTTGTTAAGACTGTTTTGTCTGGCTTTCTTTTGAGTTTGTTCTTCCTTAATTTCTTTGTAGACCGGTGTGCTTGTCAAAATTTGGGTGGTTTTCTTTTTCCGTTTCTGTTTGTTTTCTGACACCTTTGTTGATTTTGGGTATGGTTTTATAATTTCAGGACCAATAAATTGCTTTGGGGGTGTTTTTTCCTCATTGCACTTGCTAGTAGATGGCTGGGGCTCTTGAATCAAGGAATTGTTGGTCAGGAGCGGAGGGTCTTGAGTCAAGTCATTAAGAGATATATCCGTTACGGTTGACGCTATAAAATCATTATCAACAAATATATTTTCATCAAAGGGAAATATTCCTGTTGATTTGAATGCAGATACGCAATTCTTAGAAGAAAATGCAATATTATATATCTGTCCTAAAATTTCTGCAACGTCATATATTGTAATGCGCTGCCCTGGATGATTTGTAAGCCAGGTTTTACATGCATTATTATAATGTGTTTTTAACGGACCATAAACGGTTCTATCCAGGGGCTGGAGCTTATGACTCGTGTGTGGGGGAAGTGTTAGTAAAACCACATTACTTTGTTTAGCCAGTTCTATTGCCTCCAAAGAAATATGGCTATTATGGTTGTCCATAATTAGGAGGATTGGACAATTTTCAGTTGGATGAGTGTAAGAAATAAAGTGTCTGAGCCATTGCAAAAATATTTCTGAGGTAATCCAACCTGAAGGTGACGCTGCTCCAATACATCCATTTGGGCCCCCTTTGAGCATGTGCTCTTTAAAATATTTCCTTGGGAAAATTAATATAGGAGGAACCGAGTTGCCATCTGCATTAATGGCCCCACATAAAGTAATCAATGTGCCCCTTTCCGCTGACGTTATTTGACCTACTTGCCTTTGACCTTTCATGGCCACTACTTTTCCAGAATCTTGAACTGTCGTAAGCGCAGTTTCGTCCATGTTATAAATGTTGCCTGATCAAAATGTGTATTTATTTAATACCTGCTTTAAATTTTCAAAAAATTTTCCTACAACAACCTTATTGAATCCCATAGCCCGTCCTAGTGAGGTCGACTCCGCAGTCCTAATTGAGAGAGGGTTTCTTCTTAAGAAACGGGTTAACCATCTTTTCCCAGCCATTTTATTTTCAGTCCACGAAGAAGGACATTGCTTATTATTAGCAACTGCCAATTCGTAAGCCAATGATCGAACATTTTTTGGAGTAAGACCGTGGTGCAGTTGTGCAGAAACCTGCAAATAATTGCACAACTGCTGTTCTTCTTCCAATGAAAATATTTTTCTAACAGTATAATTTGGTGTTAAACCAGTAGCTATGTTTTCCACTTCGACATTCTTAAATTTTGCAACATATCTTCTTAAAGTGGTTCTAGGTATAGAATGGCGCATTGAAGCAGCCTTAACTGATAAACCATTATTTTTTATATCATCAAGCGCGTTTTTCATCGACTGTGCTGCGGTTTTTCCAATACCAATTGTCTTTGGCTTTGGACGAGGCATTTTTCTGAAATAGAAAAATAGTCGTTGATATTTTTTTTATTTATTCAGACGTGACCAACAGTGGCCACCAAAAAAAGCAGTGGCCACTATATGTCACTTAAGGCATGGCCACTGTAGGAAATTTACCGTTATAAAAACAAAATATAACCTCGGAAAAATCGTGCATAAATACGATGGTATGTATCGTTGAATCTCATCCCAAATAGTATATTTAAAAGCAGGATACAAAAATATATTTAAAACTTACCAAGGTAACAATAGATAACAATCAAAATGTATCACAAAAAAAAACTTTACTG